TACGATATTACTTGGGCAGCGTTTTCTCGACATCAAGAATCTCACGGCAGCCTTGACTTCTGCCTGATGGCTCTGCCTTCGCATGAAAATTCTCAGCATCGAACAAGAAAAAATATTGCATGTATCCCACACAATATTGCAACACTGAGTGGGGGTATTGTGGGCTAAATGCCATGCGAACGAACATGGTGCATATAATTCTCAGGTTCATAAGGCTGGCGTGGCAGAGTGGGCGTTTGTAATAAACTTCGGCTGAGGTGTGTTAGCCGAGGCAGGCAGCCTGCTATTAGCAGTCGTAATTTGTTGGTGGTCAAGGTTAACAAATGATCGATCTCGAACACGGAGCAATTTAACATAGGCGGATACTTCAGCTGAGGATAAACTATAGGAATAGATTTAAACATATAATTTTGCATAATGTGTGTCAATTAAAGCCAATCAATCTAGCGAAATATTTGAAATTTAATGATGAAATCCGTAAATATTTCGAAAGTCTGATTATGCCTCTCAAAGCGGTAAATAGTGCTTGCAATTCAATAATTTATCATGTTTTCATCCCTTAGCTTTACTGCCGATGAGAATCGGTTTATGTAACGCATTTATATGAGCTTTAATAAATAGAAATAAATGGGCACAACTTTTTCCCTGAACTAATCCGGAGAGTTGCAAGTTGCACGGCATCATCTCCAGTGAAAAGTTAATTCTATTTCTAATTCCAAAGTTATAATCACGATATATATAATTCAGATTCCTTTAAAGGACTACCTAGATTTTTGTAGCTGTGTAGTTGTAAATAGAAGATTTCTGCCGCATTAAATTCTACGGATAATACTTTCCATATTTAATTTACTTGTTGGAGGTGTAAGGTAGCCTGTTAGAGCACTGTTTTATTGAACTATGAACGTAAAAGTGAATTCATTTTCAATGTAACACAATAAGAATGAATTACTGACAATTAAGAAAAAATTTATCTTTATTTGTATTGGTTTAAGTTGTAGAATTTGGTGGATCGAATGCGTGCATGACGACCGAGTCTTTTGATTTGCACGAGTTTTTGGCGATTGATTTTCTAAATTGCAACATTTTCACAAATCGCTTAACTATCCTGAAAGATCTTTAGAGTTTTCTCTGAGCTCAGCATGCCATTTAATTTCGACGTCCTCGTGTGTTTGGCGAGAGTCATGCCAACCTGACGAGTGAGGGGCGAGCGACCAATGAGCGCACAGAGCTCGGTGCCCAATAGGAGGGCAGGAGAGCCACTTCTCCGAAGTGCCAACCTTGACTCAGTGCCATGGATGGGCAGTGGCGGTCCAACAGCTGGTTGAACAGGTCATGCTCAGTGATCGGTGTCACGTGTAGTCCTGAACTGAACGGAATGTGGAACTTCTTTTATATATATTAGTAAATTTTTAAACTTAAGTTTAACCCAGTAAACCACTGCCTTATGTGCTCAACAAATATAGTGAAATTGTTGTAATATGACGACGACTGTTGATAATTAATGTGATTTAAATACTCTATGTTTATTTCGGTTCACGACATTTTCCATGAGACCATTCTGAGATCTTTAAGTCAAGCAAAGGCTTCAGTCTTGAATCGAGAATTGAGAAAAATATTTGGCTTCTGTTGCGAGTCTCGCCCGGTGTTACTGAAAATTGCATTTGCCATCTGCATAATTCAATCATTGTTCACTGATTTGCATCAGAGTTGCGTGTTTATGATTTAGATTTCTAACGATATCTAGCTGGTTTCCCTGATGAAATTTCTGGTGGCTAAACCAAAACAGTTACTGAGGCAGTCATGCAATCGATGTACTTCTGTTTATGACCATGCTTTTCTGTATCAAGAAAACATTGCCTTGTTTCTGTGACGATCGACTGGACTGCCTTGTCACTGCGCGTCGTCGACAAACGACCTTGTCGTGATCGTGACTGAGTTACTTAGTATTTCTTGACGTTTCTTGACCAATAAAGACAGTTTAAAGTCAGTTAAAATGACTGCTATCCCAATTTAATCGAATTGATTGTTGAATTGCTCTATTTGCAGGATAAGTATCACAATAAAAACTGACTGTCTGTTGCTAACAAATTATTGTTAAAGATATTGGTTTTGTTTTACGTTTAATGCAAATTCTTATTCGCGAGAAATATTTAGGGCCAGCTTAATTGGCACACAAACTATACACTACGACATCGAAGGCCAAGTGTCCGTATAGCACTTATTTTGAGTGGCCATGTTTCACAAGAATGTCAGCAGAAAATGTAGATTAAACTAATAAATATGCGTTCCTGTAATTATATGAGTTGGCTGTTTCTATTGATTTTGAAGTTAGTGAAAAGTTTTGTTACTCGTAAAATATTGTAGATGGTTGCTTTGGAGGCGTAAGCCTGATTCTGGATTGATTTCGTTGAATTATGTCGATTGAGGAGCGTAACTCGACTGAGTTAAATACGGAAATTAGCTTAGCTCCCTAAGGAATGAAGGACCAGTGTGAATCAAAGATATGCATTCAGGAGAATAAATATTAAGTTCATTTAAGTTTAGCCACCGTTCGTGACCGGCATCAAGGTTAATATAGTGCCTAGTACCTGAGGATACATTCCACTCGATTCGTGCTCGATCTACTCGATACATCAAGGTATCAATTCAGCCAATAAAACTGAACTTAATGTTGCGTTGGTGAATACATGAATCTTCAATATTCAATATGAATTCCTGTATACTTTTTACAATGAATTAATCGTGAATGCAAGACATATCTTTTTTTTAGTGCTTCAAAAAATTAAATTTTATCTATTCGAGAATATACCGGTAGAAAGATGACCGATGAGCAATAACCTTAATATAGTAACTAATTAATTGCACGTTTCCCTGACATTTCTCTTTGTAAATTATTGATGCGATATTGACTTGATGATGTGAAAATATGAAACTAATACCTGCTTACCAACTACTTCCCTTCGATTGAATTTGAAATTTTGTTTCGAAGGTTCCTTCATTTTTTTTTATCTCTATCCAGTATCCAATGCACCTCTAATCCTATACACCTCTAATCCTATACACCTCTAATTCTATACACCTCTAATCCTATACACCTCTAATGCTATACACCTCAAATCCTATACACCTCTAATCCTATACACCTCTAATTCTATACGCCTCTAATCCTATACACCTCTAATCCTATACACCTCTAATTCTATACGCCTCTAATCTGATCAACCATAAGGTAGACGGAAGAGCAGACCACGAGGTTATGCATCGCTGGCTTTTATATTATGGGGAAATGTTGTGGGGCCTCTAATCTACGCCTGACAAAAAAGAATTATTTAAATAAAAATAATTGTAGCAATTGAATGGGCCTGCATGCTATTTAAAAAAATAAGATTTAGTTAATAAACGTCTAGCATAAAATTGTTTCCGGAGATCATTCAATTTCATTTTACTCACCACCATGCTTCAGGATTTGATAATTAGCAAATCTTAAAAAAAACATTAGCTTGAAAAATGTTGGTTTAATTAACTAGGTTAAAATATTTCAATGCACTTAAGGGATTTGCGTTTTGAACCATTTAAACGTACAATAAAAATAATGTACCAGCAATAAAAACGTGCAAGACTTGAGTAATAATAAGCAATCTTCCAGCAGTTGGAGGCATAGTCCATAATATAGTCTGCCCGCAAGATCTGCTTGACTATGCACGATTTCACAGAAGTTTTTATACCAGACTTCCGGATCCATATAATGCAATTTAATCCTTGGGAACTCATAGAATTAAAAGCCTTGATATTCTCCAAGTTGGGTGTTGAATACTGGTCTTTCATTAGATAAGTTGCCCAGGTGATGTACATGCATGGGAACGTCAGACTAACCCCGATTTTAACAATGGACTCATTAGCTTGATGAATCATAAGTCATGCTTTCGCGCGTCCAGTCCTTTGTTCACAGGCACATCCGGCGCAATGCTGGTAGTGCTCTTCACTAACGAAAACATTGATCGCCTCCGCGCTCATAAGTTACGAGACGTACTCGCGTTGATGACACTAATTACCGGACAGCAAGGTCGCTAGCAGCACTCCGCCGTCCGCGACGTTAACTACCTGGGCCCATACTTTCAAAAAAAGTAAAGAGATCGTAAGTTCATCAATCAATCATTGAAGGCCTTTCAAGCAAAATCCACCAATCATAGACAAGAAAGTAGAGCGTAAGTACTTACGTTCACTTAGCGAGTTTTGAAAGTATGGCCCCTGAGCTCGCTGGTTCGGAAGTAGATATTTATCGTGGAAGTTTGGCACGAACATATATGAGGAGACACTGCGCTGTATGTTCTTGTTAGGCCACGTCTACGCCAAAATCTTTCGGAGCAAGCATGGCACATTAAAACTGGGGCACAGGTTGAAACGGTTCTGAGGTACATTGATGAGATTTGGTGTACTTAAATCAATGAATTTACCAACGCAATTTTAGATATTAAGCATAGGTTTAATTATATTTTTTATTTACTTGTGTTAAACCAATTTCAATTACGCTCTGTACAAATTTATATAGAAAAATAATGACGGGTATGAGAATAAAATTGCTGAATTGAATGCCAGACGACTGTAAGTAATACTTGAGACTATTCAGTGATTTTATTTTCAGATAAGTGCTACTATTCAGTAATCCTCTATCCATAACTTATGATAATACTTAACAAAAATGTCCCTATTAACTGTTGCGGATGAGCTACATGATCGTGCAATGTTAACAAAGCTGCGTGGGGTGTCCAGGGAGGCCCGCAGGTCGTGCGGTCATGACGCAGCGTCGCCAGACACCGGCCATCAACTCGGCCACCTGATGGAGAGCTGGGAGTGGCGGTACCCACCCAAACGGCCTCGCCTCCAGGGAGGGGGTGCAATCCCTCCATCACAGAAGATCCTAAAATCCACCAAGAAAATTAGTCGCTCTAACATTGGGTCAGATAAAATTATTAAGGAGAAGGAAATAAATAACGAAATTGATGGAAAATTCTATGGATCTTCATTTAAATTATATGTAAGTCGTCGTTCGACCGGGATCATCAAACCGCAAAAATGGATTTCATGGCCAACAATCCTGATGGTTGTGGCAGCTATGGTGGCGAGTCTGTCCCCTACACAAGCAATTGTTCCACTTTTCCACGAAGCGACCAAAATGGCGGGGCTTCGTCTGCCCAGCGACACCGCCGTGGGTACCATCATTTACCGCCTCCGCGCTACCGACGCCGAAAAAGACTACCCTTTGCTTTTCGGGATTCGAGGTTAGTCATTGTTGCCCCTGGCGAATAATACCTTCTGCCTCATGTTATTTCTCGGCGACCTGTGACTCGATGGACTAACGTGCCTTGAAGCCTATTGATTATTATATTTATTATATATAATATATATATTATATTATATTATTATATATAATATATTATTATATTAATTATATATTAACGTTAGCCTTGAAGCCTATTAGCCATAAACGTGCCTGTTACAACGTTCTTGAAAGAAGAACGTTCTGATATGAAACTTTACTTTATTTGCAACGCTTTATTGATTAAGAGGATATAAAAAGCCATGATAATTTTTTTATTATCACTTTCAAGATCGTTCAATTTAAAGATCTTTGAAAATTTGTTAAACTCTTTATTCACTAATGCAACGGTCGAGTGCGTGAGAATTGAAGAACATCTGGTCATGATTCGTCCTTTATGTGTTTAGTGTTTTTTAGCTTTTCTCGCTAGATAAGTTTCAGCTACATTTTCTCTATTATATCCCTGCAAGAGGGCACATCAAAATTTTATTATTAAAAATTTATTACTTGGAAATAGTTCTGTTCAAAAACATTGGATAACTTTTCAGCGTAAAATAGATGGCGAATTTAAACTTTTTTTAAGGGAGTACTACTGTTCTGAGTGTGAAATGAGAGGAAATGAATTAGTGGTATTATAATAATTAAATGACTTAGGAGCTAAATCAATTTTTTTTCCTACTGATTTTTAAGAAGGCAATCTTCATTGGAAATTACCTTCCTTGTTAACATGATTACAACATACAACAGACTCGTAACGGGTTAAAAAATTTTTGTAAATCGAAGTGAAAATGGTCACAAATTATATATCATGTAACATGCAGCTCAATAACTTTCCAACAATGAAATTTTTTCCTACTTCGTGCTAGGTACAATTGGAAACAATCTCATCAGCCTGGATCAGCACGAGTGCACGCCCTCAAGCAACGTATTTTGCGAGGCCGACGTGGTGCTCAGTAAAGCACTTGAGTCTGGCCGGGTCTACATCTTCAACTTGACTGTCGCTGACACCCGCGGTGACCAGACGGAGGTCGTAGCCAGGATAGACGCTACCGATGGACGCACTCCCATTAACACGATCTTCCTCAACTATGATCCTAGCGTGCTCGTGCCAGAGGTGAGTCTATCCGCCAGATATCTGACGTTCAATATACGTTGAATTATTTGTTGTTTGGTTGAATTAAACTTTGTTCGGTTAAATTACCTTTTTTCAACGTCCCTCGCCTGATAGGTATGCTGTAGGGCGTCTGAAAACATGCCGAGAAGAGCATGTAGACTTTATACCAACATGATTACTTCGCCAAGTTCCACATAACAAGAAGATTGAATGGTGTCAATCGATTAATAGTAAATTTATCAATGCACTTTACGGTTTTAAATGGATTTTTGATTGTAATAATTACCGGAGCGACAAAGCGAAATTCGAACAAAAACTAACTAACGAACATCGCAGAGCATTAAACATTTAATGCCATAATAAGCATAAGTATACAAATTACATCGAAATGAGTGTCATAAAACTTGAGAAAATTAAGTAAATCTATTTGTCTTTTTACTTGCTCAGGACCAAGCGCTGCAGACAGAGGTCGCATCCCTAGTTGTGCGCAAGAGGCAGTCCTCGTCCTTCATCGAGTTCGACATCCTCGTAAGTAGATTGCAGCGCATATTGGATATCAGATCGATGAACTAACGCTGCCACAGCGAAGAAACTTGGAGTTCTTCGTGCGGTACTGATATTTCGCTGGGATCACTGAGCAATCAATATTTTGACAGAGACTCGTATATTTGCCGTAAAAGATAAGAGAATAAGTCTATATTCACGAGCAACATATTGTAGACTCTCATTTAGCGAGAAGTAAGCGACACAATTTTTGTCTGATTTAGTGTAAATTTCAGGCAAATTTTGCTTGGCGTTTTTCTTTTCTATAATAATGAGTAATCAATAAAAAATGTGGAAAATATTCATCGATTAAATTAAACTGATTTTACAAATATTAATTTGGATTAATTAAAAAATTAGAGTAATCTTCATAACATTTGTCCTATCATCATATATTCCACAGATATTATAACACCAGCAAATGAGGAATTCATTATCTAAATATGCAACAAGAGAAGAGGAAAATTATTGCGCAAAAGGACCCATGCACATCTAATTAAATAAAATTCTCATTAACTGATAAGGCATTCAGTTATTCGCGTGTAGAACCAAGGACGGCGTCGGACTTTTATTCGCTACGTCTATTGGCGAAGGTCACGGCGCCATTGGCTAACCTTGTTCTGACGTGCTATTAATTCCACTGCAGCACAGGTCCTAATGAGCTTTGCAGCCTTGGCGCCAACCTATTAAGTTAATGCACATATTTTTTCTGCATAGATATAGTATTGTAATGCCAGACTTCGTTCTGAAGGGTAACTCCTGCAATTTTATCCAATGTTTCACAATTAAGTATGATTCTTTACAGTAGTAACATAATACTTTTGGAGCAATTTGCTTTTATCATACGTTTATGTTCCCATTATGTGCCTCAGCAGTTGGTCGCAGATAATTTTTCTCTGGTGCGTGATGCACGATTTTTCGCTTGGCTAAATGAATGTCAATTAAAGTCTTGTTGCGGGTTAGTGCGCGATGATAGTGCGTTTCAAAATTTCTTCACATGTCTACACTTTTAAATTACTTCTTTCATTTTCATTGAAGATCAAATTAGATAAAAACTAGACTTCGAATTTTTCCAAGCTTGAACTTTTTTGATAAGACCAACGAATTTTTGGAATAAAATTTAGAACATTAATAAAATGTACTCATGACATCGTCTAGGTAACTAGACGATTGCCAGTATTAACAATATAAGCAGCAACACAAACTTATTTTCCTCCCACAGACTAAGATATAGTCGAAACACATTTTTCTTTACCCTATTCAATTGTCTTTGTGTCGCTGCGGTTTTTTTCAGATCATCATTTGGATAGAACAAAAGTTGGCTTAATAAAGTGTGTTCATAAGTCAATAATATTTATTTGTTTCGATGAAGCAAATATGAATTTTCTATTTGTTTTGATAAAGCAAATTTGAAAATAAAAAAATCATATAATTGTAATAACTTGTCTTATATAATAAAGGATAATTTTTCTTGGCAGGGCGACACTTCCCACCATTTCCGCATCACCGGCAGGCTGGTCTCATCAAGCGAGATCCGCGGTTCCATCACCCTCGTCGCCACGCTCGACTACGAGACTCGCAACCTTCACACCATAAAAGTCTGCGCCATGGTCAGTGCCTTAGATATATTGAGTTTACTTCTTATTCGAAGAGCAAAATTCAATTGCACAACATTTTCTTCTCAAGAGGAAACTAAATAAATTTTTAGTTCTCTTTCTAATTGTTCAAGTTTTATCCACTATTATTTTCACCGCGAAGAAGACAATTTGGTTTATCCTACAAATTTTGTAAAGCAAATATTTTCAAGAGTCGCTTCGATCAATGTTCTTCTTTTGAATTTTCGTCCAATTAGTTGTCGCGGTGCGTCGATGATCAGCAAAACTATCTTTGTCCATGTAATATTAATTATGCTTTGCTTATACATTAGGTGAGCAGGAAAATCCACAGGAGTACACGGGAGTAGGTTTTGAAGAAATTTTCTGATCAATGAAAGACTATGAATTGTGTTTTTATTGAACAAATTTGTGGTGTAGTTCCAACAATTATCACCACATGAAGACACTCATTTTAATTCGTTCCTAAAAGGCTTTGCAAAATGGGTAAGATTTCGATCAAAACATTCGTTTGTAGCTTGTTCATGATTGAATCAAGTAACATGGGAATATCTTGTACCAGTATATCCATCAGAGATTGTAAGTGAGAGATTGTTTATTTTACAGTCGTAATTAACCTTCCTTCCGTGCATTTGGCGTGAAAAATTTACTCAAACACATGTATTGCGCCTGATATTTTTATGAACATCATTAGAGCTGCTCCATTATTTTTTTTTGAATGGCCACATCTGCAGAAAAGTTTTTTATCTCAAAGTTTCTAATCTTAAGTGTAAGTGTAGATTTGAATCAAAATCTCCTGCTACAGTCAGAACAAAGCCAAAATGCGTGATGGAATTTCTTAAGGCGTTTGACAAACCTTGAACTTTGAATTTGCTGTTATTTGCATGCGGGGCCTTGATTGAAACTCTGCCATCAGTTGAGAAGCTAAGTGCTCGGCTCGACTGTTCTCAAGTCTTAGGAGCTGAGTCCCTGTTATTAGATGAAGATTTTGCCGTAAAGTGTTTGAGGAATGGGCGTCAGGCTCAGACCTGCATCGCTAACACGCCAACCTCTCGGACATCGCGTGCTGAACATCAAACACGACAATTTTGCGAGATCTTGGAGCGCTTGAGCCACGCTGATGAAGTTGTGTGTTGCACATCACACACGACAAGGTCTCGGACCTCATGAGACTCTCTGATGAAGTTGCGTGCATCACTCGCGACAAGATCTCGGACCAAATTGACCTTGTGATTGCAGTTCTAACGGCCTAAAGACGTCATAAAAACTAGACTCGTTTTTATGCACTATTCGAAGCAAAAGACATTGCATTTTATATCGATATTACGTTATCATTCATATCATTTTGAGAATAACATAACTGCAATACATGGAGATATGTATGTATTTTTCTTTTATGGCAACACTGAAAAATTTTCACGCTAAGCTAAACCATCAATTCGGTGCAATGAAATGATTCACCACTGAAGATTTGATTGATTTTCAATTGTTTTATGTTTATATATGACTGAAATGGTATTTAATTATTTGCCGCTCACAACACTCATGTTGCATGCTTGAGTGAGCAGAACGCGCCCTTTTGAGGTCATGTTTGTGCTCGAGCCATGGTAACTGTCGGCCGTCATCGGCTCGCTGTTGTACCTCACTGAACCCGACGCTCGTGTTGACAGCGGTTAGCTTGTGGCAAAAGCTGAGTATCAAGAGAAATTGACTTCACTTTCCTACCTCAGCTGATTGATGGAGTTTTGCTTTAATAAATTCAAATTTGACGTTCCTGTGCCACTAATTATGAAAATTTTGTTACCTTTCTTATCCAAAATTCCTAATTCAAAATTTTCTTCAATTAAGTTCAAGCCTTTGTAAAAATAATAAAACAGGCTTCAGAATTGCCTGTTGTAAATGTATATTACTTTTCGTAATATACCTTTTGAAAGCTGACTCAAATCTACGGACTACGAACCCAATATTTAATTTATTTCTGATTCAGTAACATCATAAGCATCTTCCTAAAGAGATTTTTCCTTAATTAAATTGTAATTTCTCAAATTAAAGGGTGTTATATATAATAATATAATAAATTTTGATAAAAAATAAGAATTTGTTCTCTAGATTCTAGTTAAAAAAGAAGCGGAAGTGAAACGCTTTGGTATAAAAACTAGTGGATTAAATTTATGCATAAAAGTATCTGTTTTTGTTGTTAAATATACTAAAGCTAAAAAATATTACTTTATGTACTTTTTACTGTTTAGTTTGCACTCATAACCTCATAATAAATAACTCATAATAACATCAAGGAACATGCGCCCCAATAACGTCCTAATACGAAACTCTCAATAACACCCAACTGAATAACTCTCATTAACAATACAGGGAATTATATTTAATAACGCCGATTAAATAACTTCCAATAACCCACAATAAATTACTGTCAATAACACCCCACCAAATAATTCTCAATAATAACACTGAAAGTAACTCATATATACACACCCTAAATTACTCTCAATAACAACCCACTAAATAACTGTCAATAATTACGCAGAAAATAACTCCTAATATCACCCCCCAAATAACTCAATAACACCATACAAGATAACTCTCAATAACACCACTCAAAATAAATCATAATTTCGCCACACCAAATATTTTAGCTAACCTAGTTGTGGTGAGGCAGCGATGCATTAGGAGCAACCCGTTAACAATCAATAGAGCGCATTACTAAACAACGTTCGGCATGACGATAAGTCCAAAGAATATGCGACTTTACATCAATAACTTCAACTTTATTGACTACGGTACCTGGAACTTATTTACTGAGCTATTTACCCTATCCTGGGTACCCTATCCATGTTGTTTTTTGTTCTAAGCCGTCTCTGCAACTATCAATGCTGAGTATGGAAGGCATTTGAGCTTAAAAATACTTTACTCGGTTAATTTTTCTCATTTGAAATCCTAATTTTTGAACTCCATGATGTGTGACAAAAAATATAGAGCACCAATCAAAGAAAAGTAACAGAACCCAAGTCGCGCCAGAATCAAAAGTGAAGAATGCTCTTATCTCTGTTTTTTATGAGAAAAATTATCGTTGAATTCTTCGTATGAATTCATTATTTTACTGTGAATGACATTACTGGTCGCAAGGTTAAAGTTATCAACGCTGACCTTGTGAGAAGAATGGGGTCAGGAGACCAAGTCTAAGTGCGGTTGTTAGGGTCGCCTGATCACTGACTGGGGTCAGGGTTCGGTCCACTGAGCTAACCCAGCTCTATTGGTCAAGGACAAGTGTTAATTCTAAGAGCAGTTGTCGTAGTACTTCTTATGCATGGCAAACAGGAGCTAAATGTCCTGAGAAGTTATTGTTCAGCTCACAGTCCGGTCATTGGATTTTGAAAAGTTTATTTAAATATTAATAAACGCTTTAAAGCCCTGTGTACATCAAAAAATTTTGCACCGCTGCGTAAATATATTAATTTTTATTACTACATCATGTTACTATATTTAAAGGTAAGACTTTATTCAGCCGATGTGTATGAATTTCCACCTATATTATTTTTGGAATATTTTGTTCATGGTGACAAATTTGCATTGGTATAACCTTATTCTTCATGGTGAATTCGCCTCCAGTTATGTTGGTGGAGTCAATGCATTTTATTTATTGCACACCAAGGAAACGATTTGAATTAAATAAGTTTCATTGAATAAACGATCACTTTTATAAAAATTACTGTAAGCCTTGCGCTGTATGGGTCCTGCAGGAGACGATAACGATTCATTATTGATTCCTGCCATCGGCTGCTCGTCTAAATTTCATGGCCGCTTGGGCAGTTCAGTGGCATGCGCCATTCATGTTGAGCTGTGGAATCTTCAGCGAAATTTAGAATTTGCCAACTCGGTGTTGTGCACTCAACAACTATTTCCGCATTAAAATATAATTGTCTGTTTTCTTTGCAAAAGGTTTGCGCGCATACTGAATGTTCTGTTTGCATAAGAGCTGAATGTTCTGTTTGCATAAGACAACGTAAAACACCTTTATCAGAAATTTCATTATTGAAATGTAAACTTGTCGCCTGAAAATTATAAATTCATTACTTAATAAATTTGGCTCTAAGTGTTGGTATGCTGGTTCTCATCGACCGCGGCTGATGCATTTTACAGCAGTCGGTTTGTGATTCTTTCTTGTCGGCACGCAACTCGCATTGGCAGTCAGCTCGACCACGCCTACATGCTTTCAAACAAAGGATGAGTTATTGAAAGGAAAAAAAAATAACGGGAAAAATTCAAATTCTCTAGCATAGCTAATGACGAAAACAACGATTAAGATCTTCAACAAACGAATTATTTTAAATTCTGAATGGAAGTGTGGTTAAAATGAAAGCGAATAACGTACTGCTCTCGATCTACTACATCTGCAGTTTGACGTTGATTCGGAATGAGTTATGCAGCATGTTACGTTGAGCTATGCAGCATGTCACAGGACTCTTACCTTAATGGTTCATGTGCGATTCGTGTGCAAAAAATACTGTAATTAAAATTCTATGTATTTTGCTTTAATTGTAGCTTTTTTAAATAGTTTTCTCTCTAAATTTGTATTCCAAATGATTATGCGAGGTTATACCTGCCGCCTTGGTGTAGTTTCAGATAAATACTGGCCATTCTCAAATACTGATATCTTCCGTCAAATCTTAGTGGGATTTGTGGTGCATTCAAGTTTTTCAGGTTTTAATTGGGCAATCAATGTATTATTATTTAATGGAAATGGAAGCTTCAAAAATCAGTTTTGTCTTCGAATAGTTCTAAATGCATTAAATTTTAAGCTGGAAAAGGTTTAAATGATAAGCCGCACACAAGGATAATTTTACCAAGGTATGCAATGAAAATATAAAAATTAGAATCTCTAACAAAGTCGCGACAGAGTGAAGTCCTGTTGCCTGGAATTTTCAAATTTGAACCCACAAGTCGAAATTTTTTCGTGCTGTACTGTTGGTAGAAAAATTTCAGATGGATAAAATAAGGACCTTTGATTTATATACACCATAAGCCCTAATTACTGTTTAGTCGAAGACAGCTTCGAAGCTTTTTTCCAATTTAAGCATAGATTCTTTACCTTTTTATAGGTGTGTATCAACATTTATATAAAATATATTATTTGATTGAAATATGTCAGAACCGACGATTTTATGGCAGTTTGGAAAAATCTAGAGAAGGGATTTAATAGTAATTAACTAACAGGAATCAGTCCGTTGTTTGTCCGAACGGTTCCTAACTGGACAACTTTCATTACCGCAGATGATGGAGCCTCCCGACTACACGCCCATTTATGTTGAGGTATTTACTGTCACTGTTGACCTCGACTGTCGATATCCACAGGATGACCAGCATGCTCTGAGCATCGTATTTGTTGTCTAGTGATGTACGATATTATTGTACATACAGACTTGGCGAGACGCACCTCCTCTGCATAATGAGTGTTTTTCAGCCATGAATAAATTAAGATTTTTTGGCAAACGTCAGAAATTTTGTGGCGATGAATGCATTGCGTGTTTTTACATGCCAAGCATGCAGGATTGTATGTTTTGTTTGCAGTCGTATGTGAATGAAACGCAATTACTTTTGCTAAATATTTGGGTCTATTAATTTTTGAACGGCCTGAAGAGGAAGAAACTTCTCTGTGTGTGCCAAACTTTTTTATTACAGAAGTCCGGAAGCATTTTGTCCATAGTCTGGCTTTATATTGTCAAGATTGACGTGTTTTTCGGCTTTTTGGAATTTTGAAAAAAATTCGAGTTTTAATGATTCGTCGGAATATTCGAGGAACGATGAGTTAATTTGTCCACTTATTTCCCAAGCATGAAATAGCCGAGAAAGTTAGTTGAAACTGAGGGAAGTTTAGCGTGTGTGGCTTTTGATCATCGAATCGTTTGACTGTATGAACGAACCTTACGTTGGAGTAGTAAATGTATTAAAATCTTCTTACTGGTTTTTGCATAGAAGGTATAGCTCATTAAAGACTGGTCATATCTATTAGAGATTAGAATACTTCTGTAGTTCCCTATAAATAACTTCCCTGTAGTTCCGTAACTACGTCAGTAGTTCCCTAAAAATACCGCTATATCACCGGACTTCATTTGTCTCTTCCCCTTATCGACTCTATGATGAGTATTCCCGTCGTTGATGGACTTTGGCGTTGCCATAGCATGCATTTTGCACCAAAAACTATGTAAGCTGTTAATGTAGAACTGCTTCGTCTTCAACAAAAAAGTCTTGCCCTTGCTGTTGTTCACCGAGTGATTGCACGGGCTGCTCAATCAAGAGCTGGATGAGAGAAATGAGGAGTAAAGATGGTGTTCATTAAAAAAAATCAGTTTTTGTTGAATGTTTACGAATATATTGTGTGCTGTTAAAGAAATTCAAACATATGATTGAAAGTTTGTATAAAATAAAGATATTTCGCTAGACAATAAATTTAAGATAGAAATCCGTTCTTGATTGAGAGTCAATTGCACATTTAATAACTTATTAGTTGATGAAACACACAGTTGATGTAAATAAATAATGAAACTGTCGAAAAATGCACTCTGAAAGTAATGAAATTTTCTTAATAACATAATAATCAAAATTCCTAATATAAACTCAAAACTTCAATCTTAGTCTCCCATTCTTCTCGCAATAACATGAGCAACATCAAGTGGCATCCTTTTACGACTGAGGTTCGCTCGTGACTGAGCTTGAACTGCGTCGGTTTTTTGCAAATGAGAGCAGCTAATGTAACCAATACTTGCGGCACGTATAAAAGCCTCACTCAATGAAAACCTTGACAAGTTTTACTAAGGTCGATGCTACCTTGGCAACGCCATGACGTGCCACCTTCATTCTAGGCGATATACCTACCATAGAAAGGCTTGTAGACAACATACGCAACAGATGACAGCTGCGACTGTGATTTATAAGCGGTATCATTTTTCTGAACAAGTTTACTGGAATAATGAGGACGTGTGGATATAAGATCGAATAATTCCTGAAACGTTTTAGAATGCTCGTAGGTTGATGTAAGCCCAGTAAGCTGTGCGCTCGCAGGCATTTTGTATGTTTCAAACCTGAGTCTTGGATCAATTAGAAATGTTCTTACTGTACTCAATGATCATGTAAATCTAAAAAAAATTATCTCACGAGGGTAGTGATTTTTTTTCATTTTATCAAATATTTTAACTGTCTTCACAAATAGTATGTATGTTCAAATAGCTTCCTGTGAAATGAACTTGGAACACAATTGTTTGAACGTTAAAAACGTGATAAGGAGGGTTTGTGAGTGGCTGAATGACAATGCCACAAATACAAGTGCAATTTTTAATAAATACACGTAATTTTATACTGAAACAAATCGATTATCAGATTATGTTAAAATCGATTATGCAAACCATTCTCACTATCCGCACATCGTGAAACACACTCAAAAAATCAGACGCCAGAAGAGGATGAAAAAATTTTTTAAATGCAAATGGTTGAAATATGGTTATATATTTCAAGGCGCACAACCGTCTATGACTGAACAATGTGCGAATTCAATTAGTACATGAGGTATTCCAGTATAATCATGCATACTATTCAACTATAGCTGATGATATATTTTGTTAGTTGTTATTAAGTGATATTTTTATATGTTGATGAAGAGTAAAAAACTCACGTTATACAATAATGCCTTGTTCATTTAATGTGACGCGATGAAATTAGGTGTTGCATTGCGAAATTATTTAGAGTTTATTGTTTTACGCGTTGAAATTAATTGTGAATTTTTAGGAGCTTTTCACAAACTCAGCACGAAATTTGACCGTGAATTTGTCCCGGGATGAAGAATGCGCCGAGGAACCTTCGTTCAGGGTCAGGCCAGACGATTATCCTGCCTACAACTATTACCGCTGCCGACTCCAGCGGTCAGTAGGGAGAAGTTAAAACCTCGCTGTTCTTTCTCGTAGGAGTTGCATAACCACAAATAAACTTGCTGATCGTTTCTCAGCCGTGAGAGATTGCACGCCAGAAATGGCAGGAAATATTTAGGATTGCAGACATATAATCTCGAGAGATTGTATGCCAGAGATGATGGAAAATTATTCAGACCGTTAACACATAATCTCGAAACATAGCAATAAAGTTTTGCTATGGTTTGGACTGACATTAATTCGGACAACAAATCGTGATAATTTTAAGGCTCATCGCTTTCGGCATCTTATGTCTGTTGTTCAATGACGACTGGAACGTACGTAAACTTATTGCTGCATTTCAGCAAAACAGCGTTGTCGATAATTTTGGGCGATTTAATTTTATTGATCGCAGTTTGTCAATAAAAACTGTAATCCAAATATCCTTCACAGCGTTCAATGATATTACGCGCAACTTCAATTAATTTTCAGTTGTTGAGGGGCGCATCGAATTTTTTCAATATTAAATGCAAGGAGGCCCTGTTGTGATTCAGCTTTTTGAGCTGCCAGATATTTATTGCGGTACTAGTTAAATAAGACTAAAGATTATCTCTTTATTATGCATCACAGAATCCGTTCACGGACGAGCAAATCGACACCCGCAACATCGCGTGCGTCGGCCTCTCGATTGCCGTGGGCGACGTCCAGGACGAGCCGCCGGTCTTCATCAACGCGTCGCCCATCACCAGAATTCCACCCACCATAAAACCGGTGAATCCTCTTGGCCAATTTATGAATTTTCTATTACGCATAGTAGTTATGGATGGTAGTTTTGAGCTAAAAATTTAAATATTGGGCCAATTAAGCCAATTAATTCAATTTCAAGTGCAATTCACTCGTTAAGCTAGCGTGCTACACCACAAAGTTGATTGTGGTCCTGTGGTCCGTTGTTATAACATCACTTGTCCGCTATTGTTTTGTGCTCAGTAGCAAGTTTTCCTTTTGCGTTCAGTAAATGCTCGTGGCTTACGAAGATAAATCTTCAACTTTCATATCCTTTACCTTTGATCATTGACTACCGATCAACTCCTATGTTTACTCTTTGTCGTATTATTCATCATTTATAGTTGAGCAATTGCTGTTACGTGTAATAGACCATCAAAAAGCTTGGGGCAAAGAATATTCCTCGACATCTCTATTGCTTCAGAAGCCTTGTGCTATGGAACGAGCATGTCGTGCTGCCTAAGCTCTGCAATTGTTTCTCTAAAGTGTCCAGCCTTTGATGTTGCACCCAAAGAATTGTCCTTTGTAAACTCTGAATATCGGGTTTAAGGCTTTCATGGCGTTCTTAGAGGAGTCTTGCCAACACAATGATCGGCTTTGTTAGGTCGCGCCTTTGAGTCCCTAGGAAATCAATGGCGAACTGTTTACGTGTTGGCTGCCGCATAGGACACGGCTTTTGTCCGAGAATTAGCGGTGATGACGCACGTGGGCTGCCAAAACAGTTTCATTTTTCCACAAGAAATCGCATTTCTCAATCTCAAGAGTAGAACTATCATCACAGAGTCTCAGGTTTGAAGTTCGTATTAAACAATGCCTCACGATTTGATTTGAGGTAGTATTTAGCACCGTGGAAATTCTGATAATTTTCACTCAGAATTTCCGCTGCGTATCTCGAAGAAAATATTCACACGTTATTTTGAAAAGGGACGAAATGCAGAGTATAAAGAACGCGTAACTTTTTCTAGGGTGACGTTTTGGTGCAACTGGTGGCCAAAGATGGAGACCAGGGAGATCCTCGCCCAATTCGTTTCTCGATGCAGCCTTCGTCATCGACGTACGCTGACTTCTTCAAGGTGGACCCGTTCAAGGGTAAGCCCGCTGCTGCACCAATAATTTTGATATGGCGCAGTTCGCGGATATATTTTACTGTTTGCTCCAGGTACTTGAAATAATACTTTTGGCCTTGTCTTGATAAGTGATAATTAAGTAATTTTAAGAAAATTTAGCATAGAATTGCAAATGATGGTCTTATTATCAACCACTGATTCATGGGTTAGATCTGAATTCTCCGAGATAACACGGATTTTATTTCAAGTGATTTCTTGGAATAAAGGAAACTCAAATGAGACGATTTATTTGCTCATGCAATATAGATTTTTTTAGAGGCCATGTTTTAGATGATCTAAAATAAAAAATCTAATGTCATCTATGGCGTTGAAAAGATTGCGAGTATCATGAAGCACATGCATATTTTGCTAGTAAGTAAATCTTCTTTTAAATGATTCTACTTACAATCCCATTCGCTTTATAATTCTTTCGGATAATAGTAGTGTAAATTATAGAATACATTTCGTATTATTTGTGTAAAAGGCTCGGTGACGATGGAAGAGACGATCACGAAGCTGATGGAGAAGATGGTGACGATGGAGCCCATTCTGATGACGGTGACGGCTGAGGAAGTCGTCACGACAGCGTCTCAGTACCCGGCGCTCTCCACCCAGATTGAAATCGCCTTCGTCCTCGTCGACTCTGACTTGCCGCTTCCAAAATTCGTCTTTCAGAAGTGAGTCAACTATGAAATACAAATTATCTTAAAAAACATTAATATTTGCGTGTAGTAGTTGTATCTCTTGAGTCTTTTATGCTTGTGTTATTTAAAGGTTTTTCGTAGGAGTTCATTTAACACTTGCACCAGCATTCAGTCGTGTCAATTAATCGTATTTGATAATCCAACGTAAATTTTTGTACTAATAAAGTTCGACTTGAATTGTTATTATTCCGAGATTTTTTGCTTATTTACGCTATTTGTTGGTCAAGTAGACTTCCTCTTATTGATAGGCTCTACGTGTTATGATGTATTAATTGTATTTCATGTAATTTCTCGTCATTGTTTACACCAGAATTGTTTATGGCGCAGGTACACGGGAGAAATCAGGGAAAACAGCCCCCCAGGCTCGCAAGTGTATTTTGCAAGTCCGTTCCTGAGTAGAGTAAGTCTGGAAGACAAGGTACTGACTCTGACCCAGGTGACTTTTACCCAGTTCTGGAATGCAATTTTCTATAAAATTCAACATTTAGACAATAGAGCTTCAGCGCCTGCCACGCATCGTCCGGCCGCACTTCCATGTCAGGATCCAGCTTGAACATTCCTTAAAAAATTTGTTCGACCTGCAAGTGACAATTTTGACTTCAGATAGAAAATGCACATGAATTTATTCTCAGTAGCATGGCAAAAGGTGATGAAAGTGAAAAATGTTATAGTTGCACTTATGATCGACCAGATACATTTTCTTTCATTTCCAAATTTAAATTTAACGCTTCGTATGAAATATTGGTTTCGCATATAAAACTACTATTATTATTGTCACTCATAGATTGCAATGACGGACGCATGAAAATGAAAAGTACGAAAGGCAATGAGACATGAAATTTTACTGACTGTATATTGACGAACTAAATTTTGTATTGATAAATGTTTGCGATAGTAAAAAAATATACATTTCGAATGTACAAAGAATCCCTAAGTTCAAACGAAATTGAAGAAATAAAGACAGCTAGGAGTTTGAGGCCGCATAATTAAGAGGCAATTTAATGCCTGTTTCTACTCTTGAAATTAATCTGCTGATAGCAATAGATAAACGCTTACTACTATATCTAAACTTTTGCATGATGTATGCCTTAAAAGTCATTGCTTCTAATTATTTTAAAACATAGAATAAGATTAGGTTAATAATTTCTTGTCGCCCTACGCATGGATACATGAAGATTTATTGTGCGTGTGCAAACACGTACATGAAGAAATTTCTCAAAGATAGGTGAAATTCTAAGTTACAGCGATATGCCAGATTTTACAAAATAAAGAAAGTTTACGTGGGTTTTCAAATGTTTGAGATTCAGTGCTCCAGCATACAGAATAATTTACGAACTGACATTTTTTAAGGATTGCCCAATGCGGTGTTCAGTGACAATACTACGTATTTATCGAAACGCGTAACCCCGCCCCATGTTATCAAACACTTTTAAATTGAAGCTATATTAACTGCGATCAACCGTCGAAAATTTCTGTTAATTACTAATGAAAGTTTGGTTTTCTTTTTTCTTACTTATTGTCTAACTTCTCCAAAATTTATTTTTAATCTCAAAAACCAAACTCAAATCTAAAATTATTTGAGATTTGAGTGTGGTTTGCTCTTTCGTATAGAAGAAATTTGAACCTGGTGAACAGCATAAAGAAATTTTGATTATTGGGTTAAATTACCTTCCTAACCGTGATTTTAACATCGGAAGATCAAGCTACATGAATAGCACTATACGGCTTCTCCATTAAAATACGAACCAAAACCCATTTAGTAGCTTGGGGTAGAAGTAAAACTTATAATAAAATGTAATAAAATGGAACCATAATCATGCATGTATAAAATTAAAAATTTTACTCCAAATATAATTAGATTTCTAAGTAATTAAGACGGATATTTACTTTTTTAGCACAAATTTTCTTAGGGGCATTAATTGGTGAATGCTTTCGTTAGTTTCGCTTCCTCCGGCAATGTTCAGAAGTTGGCTTGTGCGCTCTGCATGAGAATAAAATTTTGAAATAGTTCAAAAAATTGGTTTGACTCTACATGTAAAAAATTTTGGGCCCTGTTTTATATACATTCCAATGGGCGTCAATAATAATTAATGCTACTTGAATGTGCTTAACATTTTAACTATAAATTAATGTATAGAAAATCAATTTTTTCTGGCAATAAAGGCGTCACACATATGTGCGGGCGTTAAGGGGACCGACCGGGTTAAAATTTTCAATTTTGGCGTTTTTCGGTTTTTGTGCTCATCTGAAAGCTGCAATTCTGCTCTTTCCAATGGTACCACTGCCATCGCTGTACGCCAATATTTACGTTAATGACGTCTCTTTAAAGGGAAGCGGGTGGGAGAGTTCTTTAAGAAATTAGATATAAATTAATTAGTGATAGATTTTCTGAAGTACCCCTTTTTAGCCGTTTTCTATGAATTTCACGTTTTCTATCAATTTTTTTGAAAAATTCATAGAAGCAAAATGTTTTTTATTTTACATTTTACGTATGTATGTGAAGTTTCATGACAATCGGATGATAACTGTAGAAGTTTTCCGTATGCCCGGTCGGTCCCCTTAAATAATTTATGAAATAATGCCTTCATAATTTTTCTGGAAATATCAAGATGCATATGAATAAATGTTAGTAAGAGAAACTGATAATTAACGTTGTAGAAAAATGTACTTTTGAAAACTTAATTTTATTTTACTCTAAAGCAAAATTGTAACTTTTTAAGCCTCAGCACCCTAAGCACAGCGTCAATTTCTGCTTGAAAGTCAGGCTTTGAGACGAGCGTTAAGAGCTGTGATGTATATATGTATGCCAACAATACATCACAGCATCACTTCATGTCATAACAGCGACGAATAATTGACGAAATGAACGCGATGCACCACGCCTCAATGTGCATAATGGAATTCCTTGCTACTGCCATGTGAAGTGTTTGCGTCTTTGAATTTATCACCGCAATAGGCAATACTTATGCGTTACTTCATTGATGAGTTCATCTTATTCAACAAAAATTGAAGAATAATTCTAACAACAATTAAAAATATTAATTGTTATTCGAAAATTATTAACGTGTAGTAGACTCGACAGTATGAATTTTGACAACTTTGTGATAGGATGGGATAGGAATTATATCATCCATGTTATTGCAAGCGGTGCCTTCAAGTCTGTATATCTGACATCAGGGCGTCAGAGGCGTCTTCTCGCTCTCCATCGAAGGCGATGATGATATTTTCACGGTCTCGCCGAGCGTCATCAGAGATTCGTCTGATTTTGTCATCAACGTCAAGAAATCTAACCTGCTGGACTTCGAAACAATCAAAAGCGTGAATTTTAAGGTAATTTGCGCACCCTGTAAAATGCTTCTTTAGTTGATGGGTTTCAGTGAGTGAAAAATCTGCCTATTCTGCTCTTTTTTTCTAATCATATCGCAATGTAAAGATCATTTATAAAACTTCTCATTAAATGGTGCAAATAGTTTATGGGGACATTAAATCCATAAGCAAATGAATATATGCTCACAGATTTTCACGCACTGTTAATTAAGACAATCGGGAACATTGCAGCTGATAGCGCGACCCGTAACGGGAGGACGGCAGACGTCGAGCGAGTGCGACATCACTGTCAACATCCTCGACACGAACGACAACCCGCCTGTGTTCTCCCAGGACGTCTACCAGGCCACGTTTTTTGAGAACATCACCGCATCGACGTCCATAATTACGGTCTGCTTGCTTAATAATCAAGAAAAGTGTCATCGTTGATACAAGTTTTGATTCCCATTACTCCTATGAGCGTAAAGACATTAGTTTCTTCTTCATATAAAACAAACTGGTACTTTGAAATAAAGTCAATTTCCTCAAGCAACAATTATTAGGTGATGACGATAGACAAATACTTTTAAAAATCTCATGCTTAAAATGAATCGATATTTAATTTTATAAAAGATTTGCTCATACTTCCGCTATGCAGGTTACGGCGACAGACAAAGACAGCGGATCGTACGGTTCAGTGCGGTACACTCGCCTCAACGGGAACATGGCGAGCAGCCTGTCGCTGGACCCCATCACCGGCGTCATCTCTTGCGCCACCAACAACCACGGCTTCGATAGAGAAAAAAGTGCAGGTGAGTGCCACACTCGTTCTGGTGTTGTGATTAAGAGCATAAGGACATTTGAGGGCATATGTTCTATCATGTTTTATTCTCCTGTGTTTTTTATGTCCCTCTTGTTGTTAAATTAATGAATTGCACAATTCTGATTACCAAAACAAATTGAGAGATCTGATTGGAGGTATTGAATATATTTTTTTATACGGCATGATTTTTGATTTCATGATAATAAACGCAACTTAATTCGTAAATGGTCACCATAATTTTCCCCTTCCTGGTCATCAACGTATATTAGTCGCCCCGAATTATTGATTTTGACGGAAATCACATTTCAAATTTCCAGTATCAGAATTTTATCAATTAACCCTATTCTACTTTTAAAAAGAAATCATTATGCACCATTCTGCATTATCTGAAGTTTTTAAATTCCAAAATCATGAATGATTCCTGACGCAGAATATCAGCTGACAGTAGAAGCGCGCGACGATGACGGAAGCGGTAATTCAGCTACCGCTCGCCTCATCCTCCGAGTCCGAGACGTCAACGATGAAGTTCCGAAGTTCAAAAAAGAATTTTACACCGGCGTCATGGAACCCAATCTGCAAAGCTTGCGGGAACCTATCGTTGTTGAAGCTACTGATGCCGACGCAGAGGAACCAAACAATCAAGTACTTTATGCTCTTGAGCCTACAAGATACAGCGACTACTTCGTCATCGATCAAGTTCGGGGCATCCTGACGATGAAATATGGAGTTCAGTTCCCCGCGGTGAGCCTGGTTGCTGGTCACGATTTAAACATTTTAATTCATTATCAACGAAAATGAATAATTCTAATTTTACCTACAGTCAAATGCATTATCAAGCTGACAAAAAAAACGTAATTCTGATGCGGATAACTTTTTTCGGGAAAAAATTCGAATAAAATTCGAAACTGATACTTGATGTTATGGTCAGAACCTGTTAAAAATGGCATTAAAGTGAACATGTGTATTAATTATAAGGTTTCTCAAAGAATAAAATTAATTGATTATTAATTTAGGCACAACTGGAAGTACAGACTTGATAGGCGTTTTCAAGTGAATCAATTGAAATATAATAAGCACTTGACAGAAGGTTAATAAGTCTTTAAGAGTTACAAATTTTTTGAGTTATAAAAAAGAATAATTAAATAAAATTACCTCTGCTGTACTAAATTCTAAACGCTTACATAAACAGTACCTTTGTTATGATACAATGTTCTATGACCGCTTTCATTAGTGTGACATGAACTTAATATAAAAAACGAATTACCATTAATGACTTCGGCTAACCCAAGAAAGTCGAAAACCTCTCAAGCAAACATAACTTATACGCACAAGGTATGAACAATTAAATGAATAAAATAATTTCAAGCCATTGAACGGTTTTTGGCGTTCTTCAGCTCGCAATGGATAGTCAAAATTTCATTCAGCCGCTGGGGACCAACAACCGCGGCCGGAGGCAGGCGTCCGTCGACCCGGCTGATGGGTCGACAGTTATCACCCTGAGCGTTCGCGCCTACGATCTCGGTGAGTTGTTGACGGGTTGAGTGTGATCACCCTGAGAGCCTATGATCTCGGTGAGTTGTTGACGGGTCGAGTGTGATCACCCTGAGAGCCTATGATCTCGGTGAGTTGTTGACGGGTCGAGTGTGATCACCCTGAGAGCCAATGATCTCGGTGAGTTGTTGACGGGTCGAGTGTGATCACCCTGAGAGCCAATGATCTCGGTGAGTTGTTGACGGGTCGAGTGTGATCACCCTGAGCGTTCGCGCCCCCGGTCTTTGCTAGTTCCCACATTCTCAGCTAATGATCAACTCCGAATGTTGGTCGTGGTGTTGATAATGTTTATAAATAATGAAATACCTTCAGAGGTACACACATAACAGTTGTTGAAGTTTGGTTTGAAGCTGAAGCGCTTTTTCTTTAGAAAGCCACTTACGTACGTGCTCTTTGTTCAAGGATTGGAAATAGAGAGAAACCTGTCACAAAGCTAAAAAATCGTGTATTTTTCCCGATTGTTTGAAGTAAAGATTTCAGATGCTAGAAGAAAAATAAAAATGAAATTAGCTTTGATTTGTAGTGGATTACAAAAATTAGCAAACTCTTTACAGCAATAAGCTTGTTTTATCGGATTTTTTATGACTCAGGAAACCCCCAACTGAGCGACAGAGTCTTGGTGAAGATCTACACCAAGGAGTTCGTGGAGTCGCTCATGACGTTCATCCTGCCAATGAGTGAACCGGAAGCAAGGCTACGCCGGGTGAGTTTTTGGCGATGCTCTTTAATTAGGCATGATTCAATAGATTGTTGAAAGTTTCTAAATACATGATAAATTTTGTAAAAATCCCATATAACTGTAATTTTTAATTTCCAGTTGAACACATTCACCGTAATTCATTGCGTCGTGTTTTCTACAGTTGCGCGCGGCTGATATAGTGATACTAGGGATTTCTGTCCAAACTATTCGTCCTATTTCAGATTCGATAATTATTATTGTAAAATATGATCATTCTTGGCTCAAATGTACTTTGCAATTGTCAACCATTTGGATTCTTTCACATTGCAAATTTAAGAGCCGATATTAAATTTAAATTTTAAAAAGGTTTAAGTGAGTAAATCCTACAATTATCTATCTTTAGCTGTCCTAAAGAAATCAGCCATTAAATTTCATTAATTTCAATAACAAATGAAATAAATTAATTTTCTTAGCAAAGAAAACGTTTAAGGGCATTTTATAAACCTGATATAATATAGAATATTTTCACTCACTAACTGGCTTGGTATAAAACTTAATTGTATACCAGGTGTATACCAGGGGGCATACTTTCAAAACTCGCTAAGTTCACGTAAGTACTTACGCACTATTTTCTTGTCTATGATTGGTGGATTTTGCTCGAAAGGCCGTCAATGATTGGCGGATGAACTTACGATCTCTTAACTTTTTTGAAAGTATAGGCCCAAGTACTTAATTGTAACATTACGCAACTGTTTTCCATGCATGCTAATTAATTATGATTGTACAGGACCAAGTGCAGTCCACCTTGGATTTGTTGACGGGCGGCAGGACCAACATCCAGTCTGTCGCTCCGTACTATGAGGGCTTCGGTAGCCTCCATAAAACAGATACTTCCAAGTCAGTCTATGAAAATATTAATTCCTAATCACTTAGGTTATTGTGAATTACTAATACATGTATCAAGTATTAACGTTAATTCTGAAATTGCAAAATGTAAATGACTTCGCTAGGGTAACAACTGATAGCAAAATAACTTGTAGAGAGAACTAAGAATGCATACTTCATAAGAATAACGGCTTAGAGGCGCGGAGTAAAATTTAAATATGTTATTAAAGTTGATAGGTCATACAAAAGTATCATGACTTTGCTGTGGTATTATAGCGTCATATAATTTTTCGGATTGCTGTTTGGAAAATTATAAATTGTCTCTAGAAAAAATAAAAGTTTGCACGATTCGAATTTACCTTTCGTCATTTATACGTATAAAATCTATCACATTGGGTGCAATAAATTATTTACGTCATCAATAATCGTACATGTGCGCAGCAATATTTTGAAACATTCTTTTGCCAAGAAGATCCCGAAACTGCACTCGTCGCGAAGATCTTGAGAAACAGTTTCAGTTTTAATTTAATATAACAATTATTTTCAGGAGCTCAGTGACGGCTCTGGTGCGAACCCGAGTCAATAACTTCATTGATGTACATGCCATACAAAACCAGCTCATCAACATCACCAACTATCCTCTCCTGCAGAAACAAGAACAAGCTGTAAATATATATAATACTTGCATTCAAATATATTTGAATACTTGCATAGACCAAGGATAATTAAATGATGCACTCAAATGATGCCGCACACTAATTTAGTTAAATGGATTGAATAAAATGAAAAGAGCCTTACGAATTCATAGAGATTATTTTTGATGATGATCACAGTGAATTCCCATACTACCATATTGCGAATACAGTAAAATACATTCATGAACAACTCAGATCCCTTGCGAAACTTTCGGCAGGGTTTAGTCCTTGAAATGCGAAATTAACATTCATTCAAAATAGTCGAGAATCTACTTAAATTTTGCTGAATAGTCAAACTAATTTCAAATTTGTTGGTATTGATCAGACACAACAAATAAGGCAACTAGAGAGCGCCAACTCCTCGTACGTGGCCTGGGTGGCAGTTCTGTGCATCATGCTGGCGCTCATCATCGTAATCCTACTTTGCTGCTGCCTCTGTGCCGGCTGTCCGCTCTACAGGGGCAGGTGAGCTTCAAGATTCTCCTATCAATAATTGAATTTAATATTCAATATAATAAAAAAATTTTTGCATTTAAATATAGGCGATATAGGAGCTTCTATTTTTTGGATTGACAAAACATAAATTTGTAAAAGTCTTTTCGAGGTCTGTAAATATATTTATCTTGTTTAAATGCGCAGGAAACAAATGAGCATGGTGACGGATGAAAATGGAGAAGGCATTTCCTATATAAAAATGGATGAATATGGTAACATGCGGGAACACGAAAAGATTTGGTGGGATTACCTGCCAACTTGCCTGACTGATTTGTTCCTATCATGCGGCTGTCAGCGCCCTGACCACGGCAGATACATCAGTAACTCGCGTCTCGCCTGGAGTGGCGATGAACGGCAAAGAAATTGGCGAGTACAGCAACAAGCTGCCGGGGGAGTTGTCGAGGACGGGGCCATGTTACGAAGGGACATGATGCGACATCCTAGAGACATGATGCACATCGAAGATGTCGATGATGCCCGGCTCCATCGGCAGAACGTTATCCAGCATCAGCAGAGCCTGATGCAACAAAGTGCCCAGGTGAATGTAGGTGGCGAACCCAGGCGTTTGTTCGTCTTGAAAGATCCTAACGGAAACCCACAACCAACTGATCACCTTAGGGAAGGGGAAACTTACCTCGTCGAAGACGTGGATGAGACGCCAAGAAACATCCATCTTCAAGACACACAAGGTAATGGAGATTATGGTCGTAATCCGGGAAACGGAGAACCCCTCCGACTTCACGCCGGCCCGCGAGACGTCGCCCTGCTCAGTGAGCAATTAAGGCGAGTCAAGCGGGCCGGCGAAGAGCCGGGGGGGACCCAGTCCTTACAAGGGGATGAAGGAGGTGGGGGATTAAGTTCTAGAAATGTAGAAGGCTATTCCATAGGCGTAACACCTCGGGGTGATGGATATGAAGACTATGGCAACAATGATTCGAACTATGTTCACGGGAGAGGATCAGGCAACTCTGCAAAAGGCGGGCCAGGCAAGCGAAGGATTTTGGATGATACGGTAGTTCCAAAGCTCAGAATCAGATCTCCCAATGAGGACGAAATGATGGAAGATATCGAAGATCTTTCAAAAACCAGTAAAGGAAAAATACACGGCTATAGGCACGATCGTCCTGACCGTGGTGCTGGTGGAGGAGGAGGAGGAGGTGGTGGCGGCAACGTATCTGATAGAGCAGCGGCAGACAGAGACTATCACGAGTACCTAATGAAAGGAGGTGGAGGGCCGTATGCTTATCAGCACACAAAGGCTTCAATACTTCGCTATGAGTCAAATATGGCAAAACTTGAAGAAGATCAGCTGGCTGAGGCCGCAAAGGATCCGTTGTACAATACAATGCGCCGGAACAGCGCAGTTCAAGCAGATGCACGCCGAGCTGCTGCGTTCGCTGCAGAGGATGACTCTCTAGAAACGAGAAGGACTTTAAGTCAGGCGGCATTAGAATTGAAAAATCGTAAAGATGCAGTTGGCTGGTCCTACGAAAAGCCAGAAGAGTTAGAGAGGAGTGGTTCTGTACCGAACATACAGTACAAACAGATCTGGAAAGAGAGGCTGCTCAAAGAAACTATAGTAGGCGAGGTTCTCTGGCCGAAGATGAATATTACGATGAGAACAACAAGAAAATGAAGAGAAGTGCCAAGTCACAGAGATCACTGAAGCAAACCAAAGCAAAGGATGTTCATAGAAAGAGCAGAAGTGCAAAATCAGAATCCAACCTTCCAGACGATGCCAAGACACACTCTGCGGGCGTCATCCGCGGAGAAATGGATGCCGATGCCTTGCGAGCTTTGGAGGAAGACATGAAGAAAGATTCGGAAGAAGGCGATGAAGCTTCAAAAGTGGCAACTGATAGAAGTCGTAAGAAGAGGAATCAGATGACGGAGAAGAAGAGCATCTTCACTATAGCATATAATGACATGCAGACTACGCAGCTAAGACCTGATTCTGCGGCACCTGATCCGTAGCCTTACCATAGGGTTTTGTCAATAGTGGAAGAATGTAAATAGAAAGGAAACAAAGCTATCTGCATATGAGGGACTTCAAGTATTTCTCACTGACTTTGTATAATCTTTTCTCGTTATTTACATCTTTAGTGTCACCAAGTCTAGATTTCACTGTAATCCTCGTCATGGTGCAATAATATAGTTAATATAAAAGAAGTATTTTGAGATGTCAGACCGAAAAATTGACCATTCTACAGCACACTAGCACCAACTCTCACAAAACACAATCACGTACTAAATAAACAAAAGACAGCGTAAGCCAACAACCAGAGTTCAACCGACAAGAAATTTTAATTTTTTTTCAAAATAAAAGTCCGTCAGGTTTTAAGTCGTCAAATGCCTAAAAAATATTAAAAATATATCTTTCCGCATAAATTTCATTTATATTAACATTTAAAAACTTTAAAGTATCTCTCTTATCATGCATAATTTTTAAATAAATTATAATTTGGCCATATACATCATTCGAAACCGATTTCAGCACAGATCGGTCCACTCGGTCCGATCAAATGTATGTTATACAGCAGTCACTTGACATTGTTTGCTACTGTAAAGAACTAAATATTTGTTTATGCTACAAATTTATCATAAAAGAAGTATCTCCATATTTCCATGCTTCGTTACGATAAAAATTCACTATCTGACACGAGAATATTCAAGTAAAACGTGCAAACTCACGTCACGTAAATTCCTTCATTACTAGTATGTAACGAAGTCTATCTGTGAAAAGTTTTCTACGAGTTACATCTATGAGAGAAAATGAATAGCAAATTAAATTACTGCGCCACAATTTTTTTGCTGATATTCAACAATTACAAGTAATAATTATCAAATTTATTAAATTTAGTAAGAAGTGAAGCATATTCAAAGTCTAGAATCGCCCACAAAACGTTTCCTAAAATACGAGCCTAATGTTGTCATGACCGGTAGCCTGTGCAACCTACGTAAATAAGTCATTGATCTTTTTGTAATTTTGTGAGTCATTGTCATTGTTGTCATTTTGCAACCTACGGAAGCAAGTGAGATATTTTACTGCTCAATTATTTATTTTTCAATATGAGTGGATCGCGATGCGTGTACGTTGTATTGTATATGCATTGTATTGTTATACATGTATTACTGTATATGTATTGTATTGCTTAACCAATTTGGAGAAAATGGCGACTCGCACCGACTGTTCCAGAATTTTGACATCGACACTAGTAAAGTTATATTTCATTCTATATATGAAATCTCAAAATTGTATATTATTTATTTGAATGTATCTTGGCATTCAATTTGAAAATTTGAAATGACAATTGTCTTTTAGTTTATATTAAATTATATAAATTCCTAACATGGGACAGTCAAAAGTCCTGTCTCCTGTCACTGCACCTCCCCCCACCGTCCTGTCACTGCACCTCAGGGAGCACCCTTCGTTAAAATCGAAAGATACCGAGTATCGTCAATCCTAGAATTGCACCATGATCCTTTGCAGGCTGGAATTTTAGAGGGGTATTAAATTAACCAGTACACATTGCATATTGGACACAACGAATCACAGTCTGGATAGAATGACATCACAATCCTACCAACCAATTGCAGTCTGGAGCGGATGACATCATAACCAACCGCAGTCTGGAGATGGACATGCATAAGCCCACAAGACAAGCTTTAGGGAACGCACACAGTGAAAGCAGGTTGCCAGCGTGCTGGTTACCTGCTCAGGCTGGCGCCTGAAACCATAGCATACAGAAGCCTATTCGTACAGGTTTTCACTGTGAACACTTACATTATTATCCTATGTTCATTCTTGTGGCAGGTTGGAGCAGGTTGCCCGCGCGGGCAAACTTGCTTTCACTGTGTGCGTACCCCTATGCACTAGCCCAGAATTATAGCGTGATCTCCGGTTTAACATAACACTTCAATGATGTCAGTGTTCATCGAATATATGTGTACTATTTAGCCATTGTACGAATTTTTTGTCTATTAATAAGCCATTGAATGGTTTTTCGTTCAACTGAAATTAGTGCCTGAGCAATAGTTGCAGTTCTTCATGCAATGCAATCAAGTGTTATTCTAAGTTGTTGTTCATGTTGTTGCTATAGGTCGCGACTTCTGGCTCGAAGAAAAGATTAAGTGCTTTAAACCTACTTCATATTTTAATGCGATTTTAATCCATTTTAGAAAATGAGAAATCCATGCATATATAGTCTTCTGTCAAAAAAGTATCTATAGGTGTGTCGACATGTAGAATGAATTATTCATTTATTGTCGAATCATTTTCATAACTCAAGCTATTCTGTAAAGAGGTTGGATAAGGAGAATATTAAGCAATTCCTTAAAATAAAAACTTTTCAGTGCAGTTCGTACACTTTGAAACACGTTAGGCTTTAACTGAAAGTCATCGCTGCTTTAGATACCAACTTTTTAATTTAGGAATCCCGTTCGTATGATGAAATTTCAGAATTTTTGCTAATTTTCAAGCCTGGGGAAGAAATTGGGCAAATGAATGCTCCTTAGAATTTAATTATCTGTATCATCAGTAGGTGACTAAAGAATTGATATAAGGTTAGATGATTTATTCGATTGATTTGTAATATGTATCAGAACGTTAACTAGCAAAAGTACCTTTCAATCAAATAAAAATCTTTAATAAATCCTAATTATCTTTATTGACCGATAATCGCGTGTACCGCGATTGTTTTTAGCGCATTTTCTCATTTATGGAAAAAATGCCCTGTTGTGCTCGTCATGTCCGTCTGTCCGTCTCTCTGTCCGTCGGTGACCATGTTTTCCTCGACGAGAAAATACGCTCTCTGTCACCCACTGCAGTGAGTCAGCTGAGATATATTTTTTAATCTATTTAGCGCGTGTCTCTGGAGTTAGATCAAATTGAAAAGTTTCATTTGATTTATACCCACGTAATTTCCATCAATCTACATAAAAACTATGAACTTTAGTTTATTTTATGGTTAAAAATAATTGGTTGGTCTGTACTATCATTAGCCTTGAAACGTCAATCATTCTTGCCTGTTTTCTAGAACTCTTTAATTTTTGTGGGTTGTAGAAGACTTTGCTTGAAAAACACGACTTGTTTGGAATAGTTTGAAGCTATTAATAGATTACAAATTTATTGTAATTTAAAGGAGTTGGAGACACATTACATTCTATGAACGACAGAGACTTTTCTCTCCTTCACTTCACTTAGCTTGGGGTGGCAGGTCGCGAGTCTTTGAATTTTAAATGTTTCCTACTTTGACTATTTATTTTCGACTCATAGAACGCAATGCCTGTTTGACCAAGGTTACAACCAATGCGCAAACTGAACGACCAATGTTCCCTGTGCAAAAGTAACCGTCTAGAAAGTATCATGATGTTCGTCCATGCGTTCAATCATTCGTGATACCATTTAAGAAGGCCTTTTCGTTTTCTAGCCGAATACTCACACTGATTGCTGATAGAATGCTGTCTACGAACATATTCTGACGATATATTCGGTGTATTACAAAAGCTCCATGGACTTGCGCATGAATACTGCAGTTACGTATAGTTTTTCATACATGTTAATTACCATCGGAATAGAATGTTAGAAACGCATGATGCAGGTTTTCATTCTTTATTAATGAAATCCGCGTAGAGTATCGTTGTAGGAGTAATAAAATATAATCAAGTAATAAATCAAATCTATTTATTTTTGTTTCTATCCACATCCAGAACAAATGAAAATTGCATTTTGATAGCAATTTTAACGAACATCGGCAACAGTGTGATCAAATAAACCTGCTGTCTTTGTTATCTGCTGCATAAATTTTTATATTTTTCATAAGTTGGCCATAATTTAAATTGGTATCATATGATTTAAACAGAAATTATTCAATGAACATATAGAAAAAGTTGAGGGTATACTGTATAGTCATCGATCTATCAGATTCAAACTACCTTTCTCTTAGGCTTCTAGCTCTCTTTGTCCCACTGCCGTGAACACGTATACGTGAAAAACATTTAATGTGGAAGAAACTAAATCTAGATTATTTTATCAAATGGTATTGGGATCCCGTTGTCAAATTGTCTTTCAAGCGATCATAATATTAGTTAGATTATAGTTATGAACACTAAAGAAGAGTATTTCAGGCCCTTATATATTGAGCAAAAAACCACCTTGCAAATTGGAAAAAAATTTTGGTCGTGTTACGTTAGAAATCTGAATGCTAAAATATTGCAAAATAATTCTAAATCAGTGATGTTTTAAAATGCATCAAATGAATTATAAGGTTTCAATAGAAATAGTTTGGCGATGTGTCTTGACTCCGTAATAAAAAATATGTATATTTTCAGATCTAAGTAAAATTCCGGCTCGATAGGTGCATACTTGTAAACGGAGACCTCGTCTGAACAACGGCCTAGTTATTGTCCACGTAGAAACATTAATAAACTGGTGTATATTGTTTCTGCTCTTATTGGCCAATTTAGGTTTCAATTTATATCCAGAAAAATTTGTTGCTGTACTGATTATACCTTTCAACCTGAATTTTTTAAACTGATGATGGAGCTGTTCACTGAAGCGTTATAACAAATGTTGAAGATAAAGTGAATTTCTTAGTATTATCTGCGCATCGAAATTCTGGGTAAATTCTCAACTTAATTGATCAGATTATCCTACTTATCTTTCGATGATGAACATAAAAACTCAAATAAGGCCAATCAGGTGAAAAATTGTTACGGAACTCGTACGTATAAAGAGAAAATGAAATTCAATGACAAATTTTATTTTTATTTGTAGTCTCTTGCGTGTTTTATGGTGCAATTGTAGTAAATCATCACATGTCCATTTATTTCATTAACTTTGACAACAATATTTTTAACCATAAGGCAGCTATTATTCTCTGACAGGCCACTTTTCAATTTTATCATTACTCATCAATCGAATGGGGATATAGAAGGCAGTTGATTTTTTCGAGGGGGATTTTTACCACAGGAAATCAGATCCCTGGTCGAGCACAGTCCTGGCCCAGACAACTGCGTACATCTTAGCGGAGTCAGAGTAGTCGGAGAGGAAGTTTCCGAGCCCCTGGAGCTCGAATTCCTGAGCGTTGGCCCTAAGGTCCTTCTTGATACACGACTGGTAGACCATGCTGACCTTGCACTTGGACCAAGTGGACCAGCGCATCAGAGCAGCAGTCAGGGGGTACGCGATCTTGGTCAGCGGCAGGCATTCCTATGAAAAGGGACAAATATGAAGTATTCAAATATCAATCAATATCTTATTACATGAAATACATACATTTTGTAAACAAGTGATTCGGCTGGATTTGGATGCATCAACAGGACCATGGTTTGATACTTACAGCCATGGCTTTGCAGTCGTTGACGCCAGCGATGAGGTCTGCCTTCAACTCGGCATCATTAACGGACAGGGCGTTGATATTGGAGACGATATTCTCATAGAGAATATGATCGTTCTCATCCATCTGCATTTTTGAAATTAACAATAAGTTGTGAGATTTGGTAACAAAGTCTATGAAGACTTTCGCATATATGTTGTGCACAAATCATTTTATTTATTAGACCATTTTTTAAAATGTGATCAATGGCAGAAAAAATGGAAATTCATATCTATTACTCCACTAATGTAGAGTATCAAACGCCCCATTTCAAAATATATGTGCTGTACTGTACTAAATGCAACCCATTGTGAAGCATTAATATTATGAAATTCTATAATAATAAAAGAAACCAATTAATAGTCAAACACAACATTATACTTATTTCTTTATGTAGATATTATGAAATTCATGACTTATTTGAGCGATTATTAAATTTAATTTTAATTTGAAAAGATTGTGAAGCAACTTCCACACGTTAAGTTGAAGGCTGCTGCCGATTTCAGTCTGATTCAAGAACAAAGTAGCTATATATGAAGTATGCGTATGATTTTCTGCAATTTGAAGAAAGCACTCCTTCGTTTCATAATCCACTTTTAGGATGAAGATATATACTCAAATTTTCAATATTTTTCGAGAATACAAAAAAATATGTTAATTTAGGTTAACCATCTACTTACGTACTGCAGTCGTGAGATAAGGTCTATCTAACCAACGTCCATTGTTAATGTCAGATGATTAAATTTTGAGATCTATAAGGGCCGCGTATGTTCGGTAGTAATTACTGTATCAAGCATTTCGCGCTCACGTATCCTCTCGAAAAAAGTTCATAGAGTAAATCGCGTACATTCATCAATATCATTTATAACGCGATGTATATCGCCATGTCAGTGTCTGTCTCACTCACGTATCCCAGTTGTCTGAGGACGCAAGTGGCGTTCGAGGTCTTAGCCATCATCCTCTCACTGAGGTAGCGCACCATCTCCTGGGTGAAGTACGGCTTCTCCAGCAGGTGCTGAGAACAAAACAAGCTCTTATTAAACCTTATTTCTATTTGTTGCCTCCATATTTATAAGTATAAATACCATATAAATTAATATTTTTAAAAATATCATTTGACCTCTCTTTGTTTATTAATGTTAATTGATAAATATTTCACTAACATTCAAATTTAACCCTTTTTATTGTGAGTTTATACGACTATTTAATTAACGATGTTTCTCACAAATGTTTCCAAAAAATTTTAGTTGATTTTATTGAGTTGAACATTTAATTTACCATCATGTATGGAAACAAGCATGCACATCGTTTCAAAATTTCTATACGAAACATCTTGCCATTAAAATATAGATAAGTTTATATATTAATATTGTTAAGATGTAAAGATTTCTAGCCTTATTGAGACGAAGTTCAATGAAAACCTCATCAAAAATATTAAAAGTCCAACCGCATTGTTGTAGAATGCCTGACAATATTAAATGCGGGAAATTAAACGTTAAATTGAGCTTATAAATTAACAGGCAATCAAGGACAGAGTATTAAGAGATAAATTATAATACATATTTAAAAATGACAGTCAAATAAATTCAATGAAGACTTACGTCATCGGTGTGTTCGTAGTTGAAGTCGCCAGGGACATTAGGCGTACCGATGAGGGCGCGGGGAGGCAGCGCGCGGCAGGCCTCGCGAGCAGCGCTGATCTTAGTGTTCTCGTCGCGGACATACTGACGACCCAGGCATGATTCCATCACCTGGCACATACGTAGGGTTATGTGGAGTGTTATTCAATAAGGAGATTATAATTATGCATATAGAAAGAAATTGTATTGACGCTTGTCATTATAATATTCATTGGCGGTCGAACGGAAAATTGCTATAGGGGAAAATATGACACTCAACTTCTGCCTGGAGTACTCACTAGGTAGAGGCACTCACCTTCTGCCTCGAGTAGTATGAGTTGACGAAATCGTTGGCATGTGCACGACGAGCCGTGGCTGCTGAGGCGGCCAGCAGCACGAGTGCGAACGAGAAAACGAGCTTTCCTGCCATGGCTGAAAAAATAAACCCTTGAATAAGCAAATTGCTGCCAAAGTTTTATAATTTACAGTTAAAATTTGCGCATTGGTCGCAGGTGAGCAATACATACTGCATTTGAAATCAGTTCTATAAAATTTCGTTAAGATTTGTTAATATATCGTACAGCAAAAAACATTAAAGACTGGAATTTGTTGCAGGCTCTCTGGTGTCCTAGCGCAGCAAGGCCCCGACAAAAGACATGAACCTCACCTGATGAGACGCTCCTGCAGTCAGATGGCACTGCAGGTGCGACGTCGCTTTTATACTCGAGGGGAGTCTGGCCTTGAAGCTCATTGGCTGCCCGGATCCCAGGGAGGAGGTTTCCTGCTCCTCCTATTATTGCAGACCTGCCTACTTGACCTTCTCTTGTTGAGAGATGAAAAATAAAAAATGCATAGTTTTTTTGCTGCCTAAATGAAGGATACCCATCCAAATTAAGTCATGCATATAGAAGTTATGAACAAACTTGTTTGAAGTAATAAACATGAAACTGGTTTAAAGAAAAGTTACATCCAAGGATTACTTAAGCATAAGCCTCGTTGCATAGTACCTAAAACGTGTATTATATTATTTTTATTTATTTGAGTTAAAATACCTTCTAATATCTCGATTTCTAGAGATACAGCTTTATGAGCAACTTGTAATCTAACTATAGGTGATAACTCAATTTGAAGTAACACTTTCTTTGCAATTCAGACATCTGAAACCTCACTATTTACAACAGTTCTCTTTACCTTCACTTCTTGTTGCTTGTTTGTTTGTCTGCTACCAATCTTATAATTGATATTTACCACACTTCTACATGTCCAATCGATCTGAAATTTTGCACACTTACTTAAAGTCGAGGACAATGTATGAATCAATCGGCAGAATAAATAATTTTTAAAATTAAAAATATATATATTCATAAGGAATTTTTTTAAATAATAAAAAAATGACAAAAATTTCTTTATTTGAAATATTTGAAATTAAAATTGGAAATTTATTGTACATGTGTAACATCAGAGACACTGGATTCATTAGAATTGTTGTCATTAAAAAGTAATTTTTAAAAGCATGTTTTATTTTAGGTCTAGAAATGGAGTTATCGATAGGTTATTCAAGTTTCATTATATGTTTACAAATTGAAATAATGATATTAAGGGGAGCGTCTACTCTAAAATTAAAAATTTCCACTTTTTCGGTTTTTATACTCATTTTAAAGCTGACATTCTGCCCTATCCAACGGTACCACTGCCATCTCTCTACGTTGATTTATGATTTCACGGCATTTCATGAAAGGGGGGCGGGTGGGGGAGTTCATTAAGTAATTAGATAGGAACTAATTAGCTGCTGAGCTCTTTAAATATAGTGTCTACTTGAGTTGTGCTGCAGTTACATGTTTAGTCTCATCTTAAAGCTGACATTCTGGCCTATCCAACGGTACCACTACCATCTCTGTACGTTGATTTTTACGTACACGACACTTCATGAAAGGGGGGCGGGTGGGGGAGTTCTTTCAGTAATAGATAGGAGATAATTCGCTGCCCCAGCTCTACAAATACAGTGTTTTTATGAGGTCTGACTCAGTGTGCCTCCGGGCGTTGTACGGAGAGATGTGCATGTAGTTGCTCCCATCATCCTTGAGTGGAATCAAGATCCAGAAACGTTTAGTTTGGTATCTATGCTACATTGAGCGCCTATTGCAGTGCGCTCGGGACTTTGTCGGGCTCTCCTCAACATTCACACTTATTGTCACGGAAAACCTATCTCCTCCTAGAGTTTTAAAGCTACAACAATGAGACATATACCATTCGATGCGCAACAAAATTATCTAGAACGGATGGCAGGCTTTTTTCTAATTTCGTTATAGTTTGGATTTTATTCCGCAAAAAGGGGGGTGGCGGGGGGGAAAATCGAAAATTTTTCGAAAAATTCACGAAAAATGCTCCCACACCCACAAAAATTAGAAATCCAAAAAACCGCTGCCATCAGTTTTAGATTTGGTCTTTACGCATCGAATGATATGTGTCTCGATGTGGTAGCTTGAAAATCCTAGGAGGAGATAGATTTCTACGGTACCCCCTTTTTTGGCCGTTTTCTAAGAATTTCACGTTTTCTTTCATTTTTTTCGAAAAATTCACACGAACAAAAATGTCTTAGAATTCTGTTTTACATATGTGTACCAAGTTTCAGAGTGATCCGTTCGTAAATAGCCGAGATAAATTTTAGGGTAGACGCTCCCCTTAAATTGCATCTGTCGCATACTCTTGAAAACAAAAGGCAGAAAAAAATAGGTTGCTTTAGCTGTAAACTATTGTCATTCATATGTCTGTGAATTTCTGGAGCTCATAAGTCTGTTAACTGCTGCAGTCCGTGAGTCTGCATGCTTCCGTATAGTGCAGAAGTCTGCAGGGCCGCTGTAATCTATTGGTCTGCAAACTGCTGCATTCCTCGAATCAGCAAGCTTCAGCATACCAGAAGTTTACAGTACACGGCAGTATAATAGTATGTAAAATCCTGCATGTACTTCACAATTCTGCAAACTTATTCAGTGCAGTTGACAGCAAACTGCCGCAATCCAGGTGTCAGCAAACTGCCTCGGTCCAGTAGTCAGCAAATTGCCTCAATCAGTCCACGAGTCAGCAAACGGCCTCAGTCTAAGAGTCAGAAAACTGCCTCAGTCCAGGAGTCATAAAACTGCCTCAGTCCAAAAGTCAGCAAACTGCCTCAGTCCAGGAGTCAGCAAACTGCCTCATCAGCCCAGTAGTCAGCAAACTGCGCAGTCCAGGAGTAAGCTAAATGCCTCAGTCTAGTAGTCAGTAAAATTCCTCAGTCCAGGAGTCAACTAAATGCCTCAGTAGCGTAGTCAGCAAAAGGCCTCAGTCCACGAGTCAGCAAACTGCCTCGGTCAATAATTGCGAGACCTCTCTCGAGGGTTGATGGATAAGAGGGTAAAATGGGGGGGGGGTGGAGGGCGAGTTGAAAACGTTTCTTCACTCAATCATGTTTTTAGACACGTGTATGTTGGCCTAATTTAACTCTTTTGCTCTTCAAGTTTAATTGAATCATAGCTCGTCGCCAGAGAGGCGCCTGGTGCTGGAAAGTCCACATGGGCAACCGGTTTGCGGTGCGAGATGGTGGCTAAATTTAAGAACAATTTGCCGGGGCACTCCACGTTTTAGCGAGCTATCGCCCCCTCCCCCTCGTACTGGTCCGGCAGAATGCGATATAATTATTTTTTTTTTCCAAATTTGCTGACAGCAGCGTCGTAATTTACTAGACAAAGCCTATAGAGGTTCTTCTTTACGATTCAAAGTCAGATGATACGAGATTCTCGTACGTACTCCGCCGGCTATCAGGAGGCATGCCTTTGTTTCGATTCAGTTTCCACGGCGGCTAAATTAAGCAGGATCTGTTTGAAGTCGAAAGAATTCCTATGCCCTTCCTTAACTGGGAGACAAGAAACGGAAATTTTCCAACATTTGAAACTCGTTACTGATGCCTGTTGCTATGGTTTACCTAAAACAACGAGGAATAAAAGTGAGGACAAAAATAAAAAATCCGATGCAACAAACGAAGCTGCCGACAGGCGCGGCGAGAAGACTGCGCCTATAATTCTCGACTCAAATCTCCATTAACCGAGTCACGGTGGAACGATACTACTTATAAACTCATACTTGTACGATACCTACTTATAACGTCAACGATCGCATAAAGGAGATACTACTTGTTCAGCCTTTTTTTTCCAGAACACAAATTATCATTAATTCTTGAATTGGGAAGCCATCCGATGAATGATAGACTGGTTTCACCTAACGATGAGAAACCTTGCTTATATATTCCTGAGGGTCAGGAAAAGTGAATATAATAATTTTTCTCTCACTTCAAATACGTTTTTTAGAGCAGTTGTTCAACACTGAGGTACTCGTATCACTGGTGCTATACGTTAATCACCAGTGGTGCGCATTATAATATAGGCGAACTTAAAATTGTTTTAGTTATCGTCGTGCACTATGGGAAAATATTCATTTCTGATATAGAAGAAAAATTTGCTGGGAAAGTATCCCCTGAAAATATTGAATTTAGATTCATTCGCTAAAATAAAAGTGTTACTTCATATATCACATTTTTCATTGAATAAAAATTGCCAATCCGAATTCGGTCATGAACATGAAAACATAAAAACATTTCGCAGCAAAATGAATGGTTCTGCAAAGTGACTCGAAGTAGTTTCGAAATAATAGTAATTCAGTACTCAAAGTTTTGCCCTTTGTGAGCATTTTTTGGCTCATGAACAGGCTAATTTATGCATATACTCTACGCACGAGTTAACATAAAAATATGATAATTCCAATACGAAGGCTATACGAGTAGGAAAATCGACAAACTCGAATTTTTTTCTTCAAAATTACTTGATATTTGAAATCTGAGACACTAAAATTACATTAGGATTTTTTAATGCAGTTTGCACAGAGAAAGTGATAGGCAACTTGATCGTCGTCATTCAAGAGCGATCTCTCAAATTCTGATCACATCTCTTCAAATATGAAATAATTCTCCTTCTGCACAACAAAATTACAGAAATTTAGCACTATCCATCAGTCAGTTTCATCATTCTTTTTTCTTTTCAGACAAAAAAGAGCCTACTTGATATCGGTCTGATTATCACTCGAACTAACCAAGATTAAACATTCCAACTCAAAGCAAGACTTTTAAACTAATTTAAAAATACAAGCTAAAAATAGTCGTACTCAAAAGATTTTCTCTGACGTAGATAACTTGTTTACTAAGATAATTTGCGTAAAAAATATTTAAAATGTTTACAGCGCATTACAAGTCCAATGTTTGTCTGGAAATGAATCATGCTTTACGTAACACAGGAATCGCGATTGCGGGCTCAAATTGCATTATATAGTGACGCGTGTTGCAGTAAGCGAGCTATAGAATATTCGATGGTTCTGGTCGAGCTATAATGTACAATCAAGGGACCGTCGAGCGCTGACGTCGTGGGACCAGAGACTGCGCATGTCAATTTATTCTCTGATCTGTCAAGATGCGAAACAACTCTCAATAATTAAACAACGAGAAAAATATTTTTTCAACCGTACTTATCTAGAGTTAAATTATTTTTGTGTCTGCTACTGGAGGGTTTGATATTATATGTATTAATTTGTAAACAATTTGTGTGAGAAATTTCAGCGTCAAATACTTATATGTATACCAAGCTTTAACTATGCAAGTAGTTCATGGTTTGCATGGGTTATCTCAAAGCGAATCAGGGCATATCCTTTCCTCATTTTATTTAAATGTTGTAATAAAAAATCAATGTCCCCAATAAGCCTGCTTTAACTTGAATGCTGATTGCTATTTCTCAATTTATATGATGAAAAATGTATTGCTCGTGCAAGCTGACTTCCCGTGAACATC